TTTTTTTTTTTTGTTTTTTTTTTTTTTTTTTTTTTTAATGTGTCAAAAAATAAGCCTCTGTTGTTTGCTGTGTGTCAGGGTTTAGAGGTGATCGAGTCCACCAACCTGAAGTACTTCACCAAGGAAATGACCGCCGAGTTCTACGCCCTGAAGGGCATGTTCCTGGCTCAGATCAACAAGTATGGATGACCAGTTGCCCACTTTTGCACCCGCCGCACCCACCTCTACCATCCTCATTTTTTGACGATTCATGAATTGTCTTAGCTGCCATGTTAGCATCAAACCATATCATTATATTTTTGTTTTAGCCTCAAGCCTTACCCCAGGAGTGTAGAAGCAAACACTCTATTCGGGATGTTATTATACGATACGTCTGCGTCATCGTTCTGACAGTTGCAAGTGCAGTTTTGTTGCTCAGCTGCAGGGCTCGCTTGTAGAGCAACATGGCTGTTCGCCCCACCGCCTCTCCACACACCTCTTATTCACCCCCCCCCCCATCATCTCTGATGTGACATCCTGAGGGGTGAAAGACAAATTGAGGAAGCCTTATTAAATGTATACGCAGCTCAATAATTAACCAGAGGCAATTTTCAAGAATCTCCGCGATCAGCAAAACTTGCCTCCACCTCAGCAGGGTTTATGGCAATCATTAAGTTTTTCTTAACTGGGGGAGAATTAACAGCAATGGTGGGTCTGGGTGGAAGGAGCTTCGTGTGATTGGAATGTGTGTGCTAAAAGATTTGGGGGAGTCAAATATTTGACAATGTGGTGGGTTCCGGGGGCTTCCGCTGAGCTCGCTGGTAGAAACATTTAAATGTAGTTTAATATGAGTAAAGTGACAGAGGCAAGTCCATGACTTGAGGGTGTTTGGCTCTGACTCCCATAGCAATCAAGTTCCCGTTTCTTAATCGCATGCCAAAATGCCTTTCATAATCACACATTTTTAATTGATTGGCTTGGGAGACATTTTATTGCACATAAGTGGGAAAAGTACTCGGGGATGCTCTACTCCCACGCCGTTTCACTGAGGCTCTTTCATCGACAGGGCTGTCTGTTTCGACGGCAGGATAACGTCGTCTCATTTGCCTCGTTTATTACTCCCAACGTTGAAATGTGTAAACGTGATTCAGGCCACATGCCAAGTGGTTATAAGCCGCGCGGTGTGACGCGAACCGCTGATGACTCAAAATGAATACCCTCGTCAGCGTAAATGGCACAGTCGGGTCTGCTGTCACCATTCACCTATCTTAGCCTTAAGCGTGCAACACTGAAGTTGCAGAGCTGGAGAGTGTGGCTACTAGATTGGGGGACCAAGATAAGGAGAAAAAAAAAACCTGCAGGTTTCTCTTAGCTCAAGCAATGCTCTTCATGGTTAATGCATTTATACACAGATATATATTGCCTTCACAGTCATTTCAGATAAGATCGGAAGATTTGGAGCCCCTATTTCACCCAGCACTAAATACATTGATCTTTGCCGGATGGTATCGGTGAGGTCAACTCGAATTATTGCAAAACTCCGAGACCCTGGGTGACATGAATTCATTCTGGGTTAAATGCCAACAATGCCGTAAATGGGTTTTAAAGACGACGGCAAATCTATGTCAATATGTTAAATTCTTGCCGATGTGGGATTCATGTTTCTGAATATGCCATCTTTAGGCTCATTTGCAACTAAGCCACAACAACTTCCAGCACATTTAGTTTCTCACACTTCTTTCTACCTCTTGTGGCAGGTCAGAAGAGGCCAACAAGGCCTTTTCCGCCGCTGTCCAGATGCACGATGTCTTGGTGAAGGCCTGGGCCATGTGGGGTGACTATCTTGAGAACATCTTTGTGAAGGATCGTCAGCTCCACTTAGGAGTCTCGGCGATTACCTGCTACCTGCACGCTTGTCGCCACCAAAACGAGAGCAAATCTCGCAAGTACCTTGCAAAGGTGAGAGATGTTTTCATGTTAATTTATGGTTGCGGTGTGGCTCGGCGATCTGGCCGGAAAATTGTTTTCGATGTTAGTCCAAAGTTTTCTAAGTGTGGGTCTTGAGGAGGACCGAAGGACCCACACTTGTGCTTTGTGGTGAAATAGTAGAGATGATTCAATGCCATTTCTAGAAAAAAAAGTAATATAAATTAGGGTGGAGCATTATTTCTTCCATCAGTAATAAATGTTGATATGTATATGAATTAGCAACCTTCACATCTGAATGATTATACATACTTCATGGAGGCTCGGGTCAGATTTACTCTGATGATAGTCGTGCCTTGGGCTTGTCGATTTATGAGTCTATATGAGCATGAGCAGCCATGCCTCTCCACCGGCAGGAGTGCGTCTCTCCATTAGACCTTTTTTTCCCCAAATAGGGTCAGAGTTAATTCCCTCGTCTCCAGACCCCATCCAGCCCATTCATTATTGGTTCTGATAGGCCCAAACACATTTTATTCCACCCTCAGCCTCAGTCGTAATTTGATTGCTCACAGTCCAAGCGGCAGTCGCTGTGGATGGGTTCCCACGGCAGATCAATGGTGGAGTGGAATCCTCTTACACGGACGCTGACGGTCTAATGGCCTCCCCCGACACTCCAATCTCCCCGCCCTCCTGCTTGGGCGGACTCTTTTTTTTTTTTCTCAAAGAGTCAGACTAATGCAATCGCACTCGCCAGTCAAGCAAACCCTATGTGGGAGGTAATGAGACGGACCCCTTGCTAACAAGTATTGCGCCTACTTATACAGACACACTTCAGCAACATTCATTGCGGCGCCTTCACAATCGCTTCAGTCCTGCATAGATACCTTTGTCGATACTAATTATGGCTGCTTCTAGCTTCAGAGGCAATTGTGACGTTGTTCTGGTGACCCCCCCACCCTCGCCGCCAATGCCGTCCCTCCAAGCTGAGTTGGCAGTGCTTCACTCTGATGGATGCAGCCAGTCAGCCAGTCATTACTAGCAATTATGTGCAATCTGTAACCTGGTCGGAAATGTGAACGGGGTTTCAGTCATATCTTCACCATAATGAGGCACAGCACAGAAATTGCCGCCTACGTTGTCTCATCATTTATGGCTGTGAAGATCAGCCAGAAAGATGTTTGCCTCACTCTGCAATCCCTCCCTACTGCTGTGTGGAGCAAGTGATGCAGCAGTCTGACTGATGATCCAGACACCACCAAGACTACTTTGCATTGTATGGAATATTTTCACATACCGGTAGATGCCTTGAGAGGCCACCAGGGACATCGTTCAGTATTACCTCTCACATTCACCATTGAAATGCTCACACACACACACACACACACACGACTGTTGGTTGTCATGGTTTTGAAACAAAGTGCTTCGCCCTGCAAGGACCACCTTAGTCGGCAACATATGCCAACATATCCACTAAATGACCTTTTCATCATCTGTTTGCGTCACATTCATCTGAACCTTCTTACACTTGATTTGTAGGTCCTGTGGCTCCTCAGTTTTGATGACAAGGACACCCTGGCAAATGCAGTGGACAAGTACTGCATCGGAGTCCCGCCCATCCAGTGGCTGGCGTGGATACCACAGCTGCTGACCTGCTTGGTTGGTTCCGAGGGCAAGCCTCTGCTCAATTTAATAAGCCAGGTGCGTATATCCCACAACCGTCTCGTTTTTATGATCCTTTGGACAGCATTCTCGGTGAAAGTAAGAGATTAATAATGAATCGGAACGAGGATGGGCAGTTTGGGAGCATGGATGGATGGATGGGATTAATAATTTTCAGTCTTCGCCTGGTAGATGTGACCCAACCATTTAGTTTAAATGAGTGTTTACACACACACACACACACACACACACACACACACACAAACAACAACGAAAAAAAAAAATTGTATGTACAGATGTTGGCTACTGCCACAAATGGAATGTTTACGTTCTTGCTTCATCCCATTCAGTCTCACATCTGGCAGTTTTCATAGCCGTCTTCCCAATAGCGATGAGTTAAATTGCTCTCATGCCGAAGTGATCTCTTTTTAGCCTGCATTCTGTTTACCAAATTGAGCATTTAGATCCCCCCCCCCCCCACTCACACTTCCACTTTGACACCCATTTCTTGGCTTTCACTAGACCCCAGTGAATTGGATTTTAAACTATTTGCACACTGATGATAAAGTTACCATTGGATATATCCACGCGGCAGGAACAGCGTAAGTAATTAATGCGAGGACTCATTTGCGTTCTTAATGGAGTTTTTTTTTCCCTGCGTGATTTAAAGAGGATCATCAGGAGGCGGGTTTGTCACGTTAAGCCAAAAGCAGCAAGTGATGCTCTCTTATGTTTTAGCTGATGATGATGATGATGATGATGCGACCACTCTGTAATGACCGATGAGGGGAAAAAGGTGACAACGACAGACTTGACAGCTTTTGATGTCACAAGCGAATCCTGTTATCACGCATGGCTGGCTTCGTCTCCTGTCATTTTTCTGAATTATTTAGAATTTTTCCTTGGCGGCGGGATGTTTGAAAAACGTATGTTGAAAAATTGATGAAGGTGAGGCGAAGCGCGCCTGTGGAAGGGCAGATGGCAAGATGAATCAGACGTGAACAGAGAATTTCAGCAGGCCCCTCTTCGAGGCTCCCAACCTCCCCTTCTTGTCAACCGGTCACCTTTTCCCCCTCTGCCCACCTTGGCTTCACCCAAGCAGAATAAGTCTGAACTTCCCATTAGCGTGCTGATCTGCACTTCCTTTTCCTACGTTGCTCTTTCATCTTTAATGCTGCTCTTTAGATGTCACCTCAATTTTTGCTCTTCCTGTCATTCTGCATCGTTGCCCTCTTGCTATTTCGAAAAAAAAAAGAGAAATATTGATCATATTTCTGTTTTGTCTTGCTAATTTTCGGCATATACCTTCAACCGGTCATTCGTATGGACTCCAACGTGGACTTCCAATTTGAAGCTTGTTCCGATTTTGTGGTGAATTTGCTTTATTTTTAGTAGGACTGGCTAAATACAACGTGAACGTGATTCTACTCGTGGTCTCTTTTTCTTAGCAGGAATTTAAATCAGGAATCACCACTTTGGAGACACTCGCCACTGTTGTAAAATTACAACATTCTTTGTAGCCATTTTGTTGCACGTCAGCGGGAACGAGCTTGAAGCATGACTGTGAAATACATTTCAAATAAATCATCCTGACAAACTGGAAATAATCACTACCATCGATTATTTGCTCAGCGCTTTTAATTTGAAACCTGCCATGTCCTGACTCCACATATTTAGCTTACCCAATGTTGTCGGCGACCTTTCTTGAAAAAGGTCAATTTCATCATCACTCACATTTAGTTTTGCATCCCAACTCCCCTGACGCGCAGCTTCTCACACTCGCTCTCTTACAGCAGGGGCAGGCTGGATGTATCAGTGTGATCTCTCTCTTGGCAAAAGCACACACACACACACACACACACACACACACACACACACACACACACACACCGTCTCTATTGCTGAAATGAGTGGGGGGAGGCTTTGAAATCTAATACGTGACCCTCTTTTTATCCACCAGGTGGGACGAGTTTACCCCCAGGCTGTCTACTTCCCCATTCGTACCCTTTACTTGACACTCAAGATTGAGCAAAGGGAGCGCTACAAGAGTGGTAAGGGCACTGTTTTTTTCTATCGATAAAACATTGAACAGTTTCTTTTGAAGTATTCATTCTGTGGTACCTCGACAAGTGGCCGGACTCTTTTGAGTTTTTCAAGATACGAGCCGTTGCGAGCAACAGTTTGATTTAGGAATGCTTGATGGTGCCGGCGAACTTCACAACAAGCGGCAGTTTGGCAAATACTGATCAGTTCTTCAAAAAAAAAAAAGAGGCCAAGTGCCTGCGTGAACATGTTTTTTATCATTCCCAGTTCAAGTTTAAACATAAAACAATACATTTTCGTCTTGCAAAAGTCCACTAGCTTAATGCTAACGCACAATTCAAAATACCATAGATGGGCTCGCAAAGTTAGCATTGAAGTTTTAGGGCATTTTCAGCAAAGGACATCTGAACACAAACCGATGGCGTAAATGATGAGATTCTCGAGATTTGTACATTTATATTGCTTAAATGCTTTCAACTTAGATGCATCAGGGCAACAGCAGCCCGCTTCAGTGGGGTCGCAGTCTCACTCAGGGGCCTCGGACCCAGGACCCATCAGGGCCACTGCCCCAATGTGGCGGTGCAGCCGAATCATGCACATGCAGCGCGAGCTACACCCCACCCTCCTTTCCTCCCTGGAGGGAATCGTGGACCAGATGGTGTGGTTCAGGGAGAACTGGCATGAAGAGGTGAGAACAACATTTCTGGTTACTTGTGCATGTGTGAGAAAATAATACACTTGCTCATCCGTGTTGTTGCACGCAACCTGGTTGACCACGCGACCGCAGTCTGTTTCTTGTCTCTTATCTCTTCCTGTTCTTTTACAAGGGGTGAGGTGGCCCGCTTTACATTTTTGTATGAAGACGGATTTCTTTTGTCCCTGCAGGTTTTGAGGCAGCTCCAACAGGGCCTGGCTAAGTGCTACTCTGTGGCCTTTGAGAAAAGTGGCGCAGTGTCTGATGCCAAGATCACACCACACACGCTCAACTTTGTCAAGAAGCTGGTCAGCACCTTTGGCGTGGGCTTGGAGAACGTTTCCAACGTGTCCACAATGTTCTCCAGTGCTGCCTCGGAATCGCTGGCTCGTCGGGCCCAGGCCACGGCCCAGGATCCGGTCTTCCAGAAGATGAAGGGCCAGTTCACGACAGGTTAGTTCAATGGCCTTCATGAAATGATATTTGTACACATGTGGGGAGAGAACAGTGTGAGTGCCAAAAGTAAAATGCCTCAAGAGCGCGAGATTAATTTTGAATAAACTCTCTGATTGCAAGGCTGCGAAGTTTACGTTACACTGACCTTAGCAATGGGAAAAAAATGGAACGTGTTTATCTGTGCGTGCCTTTTGTTTATGCGGTCTGACCTGAGCCGTGATTGTGTAATGGTACACTCATGTAGCTCAGCGGTAGAAGAATAAACAGTTTGGAGGACGGTATGTAAGCCGTAACAATAGAAGATACAAAATGGAAAACCGTGAGAAAGTGAGCCTGAAAAGGGGACAGGTGCGTTGGCATTAGCGTGCAAAAGCACAGCGGCGGTGCACGGGCCGACTGAATGAACAACACAAACAATGATGCGCCATGCTTGCGGCGAAGCGCCGTGGTGATAAATCTCACCAGATGTCGCGGTGCCAGCTGTGCTCACGCGGCCAGACATCATCGGGACTCCCGTCTCACCGCCAGCCCATCTACCGCCGCCGCCACCCAGCTGTCCCCACGGCCAAAGTGTCAGCATTGGCCCACCGCGGCGCAAGCCTTCGCCAAAGCGGAACAAAAGGGGTTTACAGAGCGGCTGAGCAGCCAAGCTCCCGTTCCCCCCACACCGTGCTAGTGGCTCACTTGCTTTTCACAGGGTTTGTGGGCCGGAAAATATGGGTTTATGCAAGCATATATAACATCTGGCAGCAGGGAGGCATTCAAATCCAATTATGGCAAATGCTATTTGCATGAGTTGCTGTTTTAGTTGCGGAGACTTTTGTCACGGGCGTTTTTCAGGGAGGAGGGGAAAAAATGCATTCATTTGATTCAAATTCTGCGTGTTCTGCCATTGCAAATGTCTTTTCGTGTGGGATAAGCATGAGGCTTTGCGCCTGCTACCGACGGCTCTGTGAACATTTACGAGTCGCTCCTATGACAATTTCATTTCCCTCCAGGTATCAATTTTCAAGCGTCACTCAGTCTCAGCTTCGCCGTTACATGTTGTTGGAGCTTGAGTGCTTGAGAGCAGGATCCCCTCTTACCCCTCCCACACCCGTTTCTCCCCCTCATAGCATGTAGCGATACATAACGGAAGGAATGACGGTCTGCCGATGCGACATGTTGAATCTTTCATTTTGAGCGGCGTTCTCGGCTCCCTGCTGTGGCAGTATCAGATGGGCACCGGTCATAGAGCAAGCCGACTCGGTTTCTCACCCTTGCCACTCTCTGAGCTTCTTGATGCTTCTGCTGCTTGTCAGAGGAATCTTCCCTTGGTAGTAGCTTTAGTGCTAGGTCGGTTTGTATCTGGTAGAGATCGAATATTTACTGCATTGCATTGTAGCTTAGAAAGAGTCTCTCTCTTTTTTTCGATGTCAGTGTGTTACACTCCCCCTCAAGGCGTTAAATTGTCATCAGGTAGCAATTTCTCCGCGCCGATTCAATTTTCCCGCTGCTTGTGGGGTTAGGCGAATTGCAGGCAGATGGACAGCGAAATTGAGCCAATACAAAAAAAAGTCTCATTAAAAAAAATGTGGACGGTTGTGTTCTCACTCTTGGGGAAATTTAACTGGTTTTGAAATGGCACAGGGTTGCAGTTTTCATGGATTTGTTACTGGCAAACCCTGAAATAGGAGAATAGCGCGCGCGTGCGTGCGTGCGTGCGTGCGTGCGTGTGTGTGTGCAGCGCTTGTCTTAGCCTCATATCCAGAAGGGCTTTGCACCCTTGCCTCCTTCCCTTATTGTCGCTGATTACAGCTCATCAAAACATGCTGCCTGCAAAGCGATTCGAAATAGCAGTTTCATACTTTAATACTCTTATTTATTTTTTTTATGGCACCGATTTCATGATGTCTCAGCTTCCGGAAGCAAATAGTGCAACTTGTGCTGCCTGCAAGGCTCCCTGTGACGTTCCTGTAGGATGTTTCTTATTTTTCAAATCCCCCTTTTTTTTTTTTTTTTTTTTTTTTTGGGTTTCTACTCCACTCGTATTTTCTCGGCTTTACAAGCGTATGTGCAAAAGGGCTCAAGTTTTTTTTTGTTTTTTTTAGTAACTACTCTGCGGGTGTTGAGCTACAGGGAAGGTTAACGGTCACACATGCACAAGCTCACCTGGGAGCTGCCCGCTACTGTTCCAGCCCTTGTACTTATGCCAGCTGAGATCAGCTCCAGTGGAGCAGTCTGGAAGCTTTGCATTTCTCAAGGTCACTCAGGCCTTCTGCTCGGAATTCATTTGTCAGTAAACCTCTCGGTAACACATTAGTTATTGTTTGTTGCTTCTTCTGTGCACCTGGGGGGGTGAACGACTTGTTTATTGTTTGTCATCCTCTCCCGACAGACTTTGACTTTAGCGTGCCGGGCTCCATGAAACTCCACAATCTGATCTCCAAGCTCAAGAAGTGGATCAAGATCCTGGAGGCCAAGACCAAGCAGCTGCCCAAGTTCTTTCTCATCGAGGAGAAGTGCCGCTTCCTCAGCAATTTCTCCGCTCAGACCGCCGAGGTGGAGATCCCTGGCGAGTTTCTCATGCCCAAACCGACACACTACTACATCAAGATTGCCAGGTGACAGGCACTGGAAAACGCCACTACACATTACACAAGCTTTTTTTTTTTTTTTTTTTTTTTTTTTACATAACTCTAAATGCGATCATGTGACACGCCCCTGGTTCCTCTCCTCAGGTTCATGCCTAGAGTGGAGATCGTTCAGAAGCACAATACCGCAGCAAGACGCCTCTACATCCGCGGGCACAACGGCAAGATCTACCCGTACTTGGTGATGAACGACGCCTGCCTGACCGAGTCTCGACGCGAGGAGAGGGTTCTACAGCTCCTTCGACTCCTCAACCCTTGTCTGGAGAAGAGAAAGGAGACCACCAAAAGACACCTCTTCTTCACCGGTAGGACGGCAGAACGAGCACAAATGTGGAGCAAAGCACACCGAAGCATTTGGATCGGCGTTCATCGCACACCCACATCATGCTGGGAAAAAAGTTGGGGGGGGGGGGTGTACGTTTTGTTGTCGCACTGCCAGCCCACTTTCTTTTTCCGTCCCTTTCTGCCTCTCGCACGCCACACGCCATTTCGCTTCCCTCTGCAGCTCACCGCGTCCTCCCGCGCCATTCCCCTTGTGGTTTGCCTCTGCCCGGATGTTTGCCTACTCTCCATTTATGCACTTGATTGGTTTGTTTAAGGGGCAAGTAACGAGACGGAAATTCAGCCGCCGATCCCAAACAAATTCCTCGAATCTGGCATGGGCCGTATTGTATTGAATTGGGTGACCAGCAGATGGAAATGTCTGTTTGCTGTGACTGCTGCGGTTAAACCCGCAGCCATCTTTGGCCCTGCTTGGTCGAGACTGATGTCAGCTCGAAAATATTTCAGTTGCAGGGCTCGGCTGCATTAAAAGCGCTACTCTTGATTTGCCATCGCAGAAGAGTTGACAGTTGATGTCACCACTTAACTCACTTAGTCCTTTACCCCTCATCTCCTTTTTTTTTTCCTAGTGCCAAGAGTGGTGGCGGTGTCGCCTCAGATGCGGCTAGTGGAGGACAACCCTTCATCTCTGTCACTGGTAGAAATCTACAAGCAGCGTTGTGCCAAGAAGGGTATCGAGCATGACAACCCCATTTCCAGATATTACGATCGTCTGGCCACCGTCCAAGCCAGAGGCACACAGGCCAGCCATCAGGTATGGAGGACACTCGAACTGTTACATTCCGGGACAAAATGAACGGCGCCATTAATGAGGCAAACCTTTCTTCTCCACCAGGTCCTACGAGACATCCTGAAGGAGGTCCAAGGCAACATGGTGCCACGCAGCATGCTGAAGGAGTGGGCCCTCCACACCTTTCCCAACGCCACCGACTACTGGACCTTCCGGAAAATGTTCACCATCCAGCTGGCTCTCATCGGCCTGGCCGAGTTCATGCTCCACCTGAATCGGCTCAACCCAGAGATGCTGCAGATAGCGCAGGTGGGCCACGTGCCGAATCTATATTACCCCTCTTTTCACTTGTTTTAAAAAAAAAGAAAAAAGAAGCTAATTAGATTATTGAAAACAAGTTTTTCTTTTTTTCTCCACTATCTGGGATTTGCTTCAGTTCTCTATAGTATGCACACATTAGTCAGTGAAATTGATTAGTCACCCAGCCTAAGCGTAGGTAGGCTGACTCCCCCCCCCCAAGGGCATGTATGCTCCATGCACCTTAATTTAATATAAAGGCACACGCTCGTCCAGATGCGTTGAGATCACCATTTCCCGACTCGCGTCTTTATGAGTCATCCTTCTCCCCCTGTGACATTCACATTAACGTCTATCAGTCAAGCAGCTGCTCTAAATGCAGCGGATGTTTTGACGCAACGCTATATGGAGTCCCTCTGCGCTGCAACGATCAAAGATGTTTCAATTTGAAGAGGCTGCCTTTGTGCGTTGAGCGCATCTGCTTCTCAGTCCCCGCTCGGGGTCCTTAGCCAGCTTTTTCAAAGTCATTATTAAAGATGATTGTGTCAGTCAGCCGCCCCTCCCCTGTGATCCTAATCGCCCTTTGCTGACAGGCGTTCCTCGGGGCAACTAAGCGCTGGTATTAAGCCCCCACTCTGTCTGTTCCATTCGGCAGATCCCATTAGACACAGGGGGATTACGGTGTGGAGAGTGCATGTGCGCACACGCGCCGCAGCAAGCTGGAGATTGCAAGGACAGTACATCGCCGACACATATTTTGGCCCCGCCCAGCTTAAACTTCGTGTTACCTAGCGTCGAGCCCAGTGAGGCTTTGGCCAGCCACATCTGTATGGGGGAAAAAATATTTTAAAAAAACTATATCCATATAAATGTGATGGAAATGTGTTTATCAATTGTCATGTGGGGAAAAACTATAATGGTCATGCAAAGAGGATTTGGCAAAACTGACAAAGTTCTGATACAGCACGCTTGTGGCATCGTGTTTAGAAAGACTGAAAGGAGGCTCTAATTCCTGCCAATGTTGCATTAATAAATCACTTTGTGTCGAATAAACTGGCAACAAGCAACCCAAAAACATTTTTCCACATTGCCGTGAGGTGTTTGGAGGAGAAAATGAACGATTTTCATCGATTTCAGAGTGAGGCTACAACATAACAAAAATGTGGAAAAGGTCCAGCGCTGTGCACCGTATCTCATTTCCCAGCAGCCCCTTCCAAATGAAGCTGGTCACTAGTATGCTGATTTAGCCTCCTGATCACTGTCCGCAGGCCGACCAGAACCTCCTTGCAGGGGTCTTGGTGTTTTTTTTTTCTTTTTTTTTTCCCCTGCCCACTGCCACAAGGCTCGCCGCAGGGGCCTGGAGGCACAAACGAGCAGAGGGGAGGGAAAGTAGCGAGATTGGAAGGAGAAATGGGAGCACAAGCTGCAGGGAATTGCTTCGCCGTGAAGTTGTCAGAGCCACTCGCCCTTTCGTACAAGGGGGTGGGGGCTTATCATGACCAGAATGGCGGCTCGCGGAGAAGTCTTCTTGCCTATAAATGCAGGCTTAAAGATGAAAACTTGGGCCGTATACATTTAAGTCAGGCAGGCAACGCGCGGGGGGGAGAGTGGAAGGAGGATTATAAATGTTCTGCCGCTGATAGTTTGACATGTTGCTGTGTTTGAGAGGACAGATCAATAACAGCTTGCAGCTTGTTTTGTCGGCCGCCCTCTCCTCGAGCGTTTCTATCAGCTCAGGTTGCGCTCTCAAGGTTGCTGCACGACTCAATCAGCATCAACGCCGGGTTCCGTAACACCTCTGACATGTTGTTCTACCGTCCGCGCTTCCAGGACACGGGCAAGCTCAACGTCTCTTACTTCCGCTTCGATATCAACGACGCCACGGGGGACCTGGACGCCAACCGGCCGGTTCCTTTCCGCCTGACGCCGAACATCTCCGAGTTCCTGACCACTATCGGCGTCTCTGGGCCGCTCACCGCCTCGATGATCGCCGTGGCACGGTGCTTTGCGCAGCCCAACTTTAAGGTCAGTAAAGGCGAAAATCACATGCGCGTTTTTTTTTTTTTTTTGTACACAGTTGCGTGTTTTTGTAGGTGGCCCAATGCTGACACAGCACCTTTTGAATCATGACAAAGTGTTTGTTTTAAACTGAATAAGCAGCGGGCTGCGTTGTAGTCCGCATAGCCCAGCGGGGGTGCTAGCGACAGCCATGTTGGAGTCTTTGGAAAAGCCCGTGGGAGGGAGCATGCGGACTCGTCAAGGCTGTCGTGGGGGAGCGGCATCGATATGTGATAAGCCTGAGTAACCAATCGGAAGCGACGCATCACGAAAGGGAACAGTGTGTGTGCGCGCGCCGAGTTAGGTGATGATTACTGGTGTTGTGGTCGAGCTGGTTGTGTATTTCAAGCCTTTGGCACCATAATGAGCTGCTAACGGCGCACACCGCTTTCCCCACAAAGGAAACGGACACACCCTAAATTGGAGTCTGCTTTATGTTTGTTTGACATGGGCTTTATACGCAGTCTTTTTTGTTTTGTTTTCATCTTAGGGAGGGAAACGGTGCCTCCAGATTGGCGTACAGTGGCCAAAAATCAGCATTCTCAGACGCGTAATGATGACTTTGAGATAAACCCGGACGCTTATCGAATTCGCTTGGAGTCTCATAAGCAGCCGTAATGTGGCAGCTGCCTTGCCGCGCTTCACGGCGAAACCCCCCGAATCATTCATTACCTCATCATATTTTGAGTTCATAGCTACGTGTTTTGTTTTCATTTGTCAAATGTGTAGCTTCAGCCTGGAAATGACCAGAAGATTCCGTCTCTTGTTTTTGTATATGGAAAATTATTGAAACACCTGATATGAATCAATTTTTTTTTCTGTAAATTTTACTTTATTTAACTCATCCTTTTTGGGGTTTTTTTCCTCAAAGGGCATCACTTTTTCTACATTCTGATGTCACAGTGTTTACCCAGTGATAATAAAGGGGCAAATATGAAGTTTAATAGGTCATAGGTATCAAACGCAAAACCGATAGCCCGCTTTCTTTGCTTCCTGCCAGGTGGACGGCATCTTGAAGGCCGTCCTGCGCGACGAAATCATCGCTTGGCACAAGAAAACCCAGGAGGACACATCGATGCCTCTGTCCCCGGCCGGCCAGCCGGAGAACATGGACTCCCAGCAGCTGGTGTCGCTGGTCCAGAAGGCCGTCACCGCCATCATGACCCGCCTGCACAACCTGGCTCAGTTCGAGGGAGGCGAGAGTAAAGTCAACACTTTGGTGGCCGCGGCGAACAGCCTGGACAATTTGTGCCGCATGGACCCCGCATGGCATCCTTGGCTCTAAAAAAAAAAAAAAAAAAAGGACGTGCCATGTCTTTTACTTCATTTGCAAAGCTGTTTGGGCATTTATTTGATATCCTTCGTATCCGCCTTAAGGTCCATTCACTAGTTAGTTCTCGTAAGACATTCCAGTGCAGGAATTTGACCACCACTGTGTGACATTTCTGCACATTAGTAGTACTACAACTACTAGTGGTGCGACTAGTACGGTTCGGGAGGCGACTACAACATGACACACACCGAATAGTTGAGCCTGGTTGTGTCACTAGTGCTGAATTACTTGTGAAGATAGACAGATTCAGTTCTACCCCTGAAATGAAATGATCAATAAATATGATGGCTTCAGTATTTGGTTCCTTTTTTTGTTTTTTTTTTTGTCTGAAAAATTACTTGGCAATCAGGTGACAATATGAAGGATATTGAATAAATGCAAAAATACTTTTTTTTTAATGGTCGTATGAAGACGTCATCAATTGTGATTGCGAGCTGGATGGGCCATGATGGTTACACTTTGTACAATCATTCACAACTTGTATTTATGTTTGTAACTGAATGTATTTGTTACAGATTTTGAACTCAAACAAGGTTTTTAAAAAAAAAACTGTTATAAACAGTTGCGAATAATTTCACTGCTTTCTGTCTCGCTCTTACTTTTGTTACAGAAATCCATCTCCCAGCTCTTGTACGTAAGCATTTTGTTTTAATAAAATGCTACTATTTTTTGATACCGCTCTCTCTCTCCATTTCGTTCCATCTCAAACACTTCAACTGTGCCCGTCACGAACATTAAAAAAAAACTTGCAATTAGTTCTCCTTAGTTTCTTGAAGTTGGTTATAAAAGAACAATAATAACGCGTAATCGCCATCTGTCCCTCATGCTCCCACATCACTTTGTCGCCGTCATAATCGCCCTGAAGGACACACTCCTGGATGTTATTGTGATCATAACTCACACTGTGAAATGACTCCGCACAAAGCGGTTCCCCAACATTTTGGAAGTTGATTGCCGTCATCCCGCAGCCAGTCGACGGTTATGGAGAGGCGTTTCGGAGCAGCGGTGTTGCTCTCTCGTCGGCCTACAATAACCTTGGGGGTCATTCGCTCCCCCTGGTTAGAAAGTCCTATCGAAGCGTGTTGAGGCGTTTTTTTTTTTTTTTTAACCCCTCCTCCCATGCTGTTTGATGAATGCTCGCCTTTAGATCTCTCAGCAGGCCACCCTCGCTTGACTTACAGACACTGTCAGACGGCCCTGCCTGCGCCCATAAACACAACTTATATCTCCGGTACGTTCTCGTACAACACACACACTTGCATATTTACAACAGCTAACATTACTTCTTTCAAATCCACATGCTATTAATGTCTCTTCCACTAGGGAGCCATTTCTAACATTGTAGCTTTAAAAAAATATATTAAGAAGACCTCACTGCAATTATAGCACAACTTTATTTGTAGGGCACTTTAAAACAAAAATTGCTGCATACAAAGTGCTGCACATGGACTAAAAATCAGTCGTGCATTAAAAAAGACAACACAATTACAAGTTTCATGCAGAGTGAAAATCCATCAAATAATAAAAAAAAATGTTTTAAGGTGAGTTTTGCAAATTAAAACCAACACTATATACTGTATATACGAAACTGCAATATATCATGGATATGGAAAGTCAACACACCCTTATTTTATGACAAAAAAATGACAAACAATTTTTTCCCCACCATTGTGACCTACAGTATATTTTCTCCAACTCAATTGAAAAAAAACAATGGCCTGTTCCATGGCCTGACACGTCATATTATGCAAGCCAACTGGGAGCACAGGGAAAGTCACACTGTGATGTCATTTCAACCTCACATCAAACAGCCAAGGGGGACAGGCAAACAGGAAATGTCGTAAGGGATACAAAGCTGAAGTGATTTGCAAAGGAAACAACAAGATAGGGAGAGTTTTAAAAAAAAAAACAAATAAATAAAAATATGGGAGCTCTGTCAAGGAAGAGCACTGGAAAGCCTTACATAAGAGCACAAGACAAGAGCAATCGAGCAGTGAGTGAGTGAGCAGGAGAGGCTAATTGGTGATTTGAAGCACCTATGAGCCCAGGTGAGCAGCGTGGCTAATGAGGTGGGTGTGGCGGACGGGCAGAGTGGAGCAATGGAGTGGTGAATGGAAAAAAGCTCAGGCCCAAGTTCCAGGTGAAGAAAACCAGCCCAAAAACACAATGCAACCACCACCATGTGTCAATGTAAGTACGATATACAGAAAAGCGTTCTAGGAGTGATGAGCCAATGTTCAAACTTGGGTTCATTGGACCACAACACATTTTCTCAAATATGTGAGGAGATTTTAAGGATAGTCAAAGCTCGGATGGCTTTCTTTTGAAGACAAGGCTTCTGTCCTGCCACTCTGTCACATACCTGAGACCAAATATATAAATTTTTAAATTAAATGGGTTTTTTTGTGGGGGGTTTTTGTGTACAGTTCTTTTCTGAAACATTTATTTTGTGCAATGAAACACTTTGGTTTTTTTTTTTTGTTTGTTTTTTGTTTTTTGTTTTTCTCTCCCCGAGAGGTGAAATCTGAAGCCAACCCGTGAATTAGGTTTTGATTGCATTACTATGAGAGGCTCCCTCCCGAGAGAGAGGCAAAAAACAGCTCCTGTCTACTGTACTACACACAAATGGCCGGTCGGCTCGAACGTCACCATCACAACCCCCTTCCTCGCCGTCGCCTCCTCTTGATAGTGAGGAAAAGGGTGTGGGTGTGTGGGGGGGAGCGTTCTAGGAGTGATTGATTCGCTCCAGGCTCAGTGGAGGTGGAGGCACCGGATCAACCACCAAGCTTAGACCTCAGAGGACAAACACAAATGGATCACAAATAGCCATCTTCCCCCGCCGGCGATCCTGATCCCTGAGGATGCTGGACAAATAAGTGAGGCTTCCTTTTAGAAGTAAAACATCATCGTAACAATTTGAATGATACATGGATCACGGAAACGCACAGTGGAAGATCACTCTCCTCAATCAATTTGATGAAATTGATTAGAGGACTTGACTGCTGGAGTGGGTGACGCATGGTCACTCTTTAACCCTTTCGGGGACAGCGGTTACTACAGTGGGCAGCTTGTCATGTGATCAGGTTACAGGGTGCACGAAAGGGTTCATTTGTTTTTCATTAATGGGGGTCAAACTCGAGGTCTGGGGGGCCAGATGTGGGCCGCCACTATTTTTTTCCCCCTCTCTCTTCAGTCCAGGTTTATGGTCAAGCTTATGCTAAAATTAAGAGAAAGGCATATGTAAAAATGGCTGCCTTACAAATGCTTAGTGCTAACAAAGAAATGCAAAAAAAGCAATTGATGCGCGTAAGAATTGCATCTGTCGGGCGGAGTTATAATGCTTTGCATAAAATAATGCTCTCATTCTTTTTTGATCAACGGCTAGTTGAACACTTGCAGACAGACAAAAGAATGAAAAATCACATTCATTCACTTCATGAATTGAAATGAGATTAACTTTAAGACAAAAAGAAAGAAAATTCTTGTAAAATTTATTTCGACAGTCGCAGCATTTTGTTGAACCTCACCTCCAAATGACCTTGGCTCATCAGTCCATTTCCAAAAATCAAACGTGGTCCCTTAAACAAGGCAGCCCCCCCGCCCCTGTTTTAGTGGGTACGTGTGGCACATACTACATAAAATTTGTGACTCACTCATTCTCCAAGGCTCACCCACGACTGAAGAGAGCGCAACCAACTGGCTAATCCCCTTTTTCTCCAATTCCATCATCTGACTCCTCTTCAGTCGTCACAGCCGGCATCCGACGGTTTATTATCTCATTGTTTCAGACCTTGTTGCGCAGTGTGGGGTGGGGTGGAGTTGAGGGGTGGGGATTGCGCCATTCTTTTTGGTGTCCTCGTGTAAACAAACCATATTAATCAAATGACAACGATGTGTTTATCTCCGTTCTCGGAAGCGGCTCATCTCATATCTAACAGCGGAAGATTTGTTTTTGTCGCTCGCCACTGGAGTTCCATTAGGACTTCTAATGACATTTTCACGTCGAGGAGTTGCGGCTCACTGGCATTGTGTCTCAAATCTGCTATTCCGCTTTTTAATTGCGCAAGTGGGATGCGGCAATCAAAGTCACTTTGTGTCTCGCTGACAGCGGCGCAGTGGCACATTGCAGCCTTGCTGGAAAATTAGTACGATTTGTTCTCCGGGCTTTTAAAACGGATCGAGAGTGCAAGAGAACGTTGGAGAAATTTATATTAGCGTAGCGGCGGGACGTTTGATTCTCCACTCAAGTCCCATTTTAACTGCAATAAACTAGCTACTTAAAATAGATGGAGTAATTATTTCCAAATGATCTTTCTTTTAAATAAATTAAACTGAACTCCCTTCCCAATTAAAAAGACACTTGGGGACTTCTAAAGCAGGGCGACATTTTTTTTTTCTTCAGTGCTGCTTCGGCAAACAAAATAGTTTCACGTTTATGTATTCATTCATTGATATTTGAATTATTTGAAGCAACTTCGTATCGTATAGTGACATGTGTAATTCGCTCACTCATTGAGAATCGAGAAAAGATCGGCGCGATCGGAATGGGAGTCGCTCGGTTGTCACCGATCCCCAACTCTGTGTGGCGCGCACCCGTTCCCGCTTTTATTTCATAATTATTGAAGTATTTGAAACCGACTTAACGTTCCTCACACTTCCCACGGCTGCTTTAAGTTCTCTTGACTGCTGCCAGTTGGCGCCGTCAGCTGCGCAAAACTACGGCGGAGAACGGCCCGATTAATTATAGAGGGCACTTTGCGCTGAACGTTGAGCTGACGCGGCGCGAACGTTACGTGTGAGTAAACGGTCACTTGCGTGTATTTCATATTTGTTTAGACAGGAAGCATATGCTCCGCCGCAAGCGGCCGTAAAATTTACGCGCGGCTCGTGATCATCTGAAATTAGCCAGACACCATTTTGTTTTGCTTCTGATGACTGAAATTGTGCTTCCGCTACTCCTTTCTTTCATTTTTTTTTTTTTTTTGCTTTTGTTTTCAATGTTTAGGGAGGATTATTCCTTCTCCAATTACATGCTGCACAAATTGCATGCATCGGTAATTGTCTTTCCAGATGTCTAAATCACATTCGGGCAGTCAACGTTCACCAATTGATGTGGCGATATGCCATCTGTTCATCTGTGGATTTAAATAAATAAGAGGATTATTTTTAAGGGTTCGTTTCAGTTAGAGATGTGTGCCCATACTCTTCAAATTTGAGTTTTTGACTTCTGAGCCCATCGGTGTCAAACTCCGCCATCTTGCATGTTTTCCGTCTCTCGCTGTTGAAATAAAAGATGCTGTAACAGTCATGAAAAAAACAAAAACAAAGATGAGGTTGAGGCGAAATTACTTATCATCGCTACTTTTAACATGCCGTTTTTATTTTCTTCGTCGGCAAGCATTCTTGACTCTCAACAAAGAGGAACTCAAACACCGATGTGCAGGGTTGATGAAGTCGAGTTTGTTTTCAGGGGTGACCGCCTTTGGTTTCTGTTTGCGCCGCACTTGTGGCGACTTCATTTTCTCACAAGGTGGGTCACGATGGCGTGTTTGCAACCATGCAACGGAGCGATCTTAATGCCTCCTTGCTGCTTATGTCCCGATCAGACCGCGCCCGAACGGAAAGCTGCTGAGCCCGGTTGACAACAATAACCCACCACTCGACCCACCCCCCACAGCTCGGTGCTTTCCATCAGCATCCTCAGCACGCCCTCTTTACCTTTCTCTCTCTCTCTCTCCCTCCCTCCCTCTCTCTAGCTGCCTGCATCCAAGAACGTGATTTAATTTGTTTGGTAATATCAGGATTGGCACGTTCAGCCCAGCTTCACTCCAAAGTGAAATTGGACAAGGGCATTGGAGCCTCGCTGTGTAAAAGTGCCTCACCTTGACAGCTGCTTGAGTGGGGAGCGGATTGCGGAGAGAATGAAGGATATACCTGAGAGTGGAGGGTGGGGGGGGGGGCTGGGGGGTCAGACGCCGACACACTCTCCTCCTTGCCTCGCTTGGGAGTTGTGTGCTAGACAGAAAGGCTAGCCATGCGGCTTTGAAGGCCTAAACTCATTTTAAAGTGGAGACAAAGCACCAGGTGCAACTAGAGGACCCATCTGCCGCTTCACAACAACATGCTGGACCTTGTCCAGTATGTCCAATTAGTTTCCAAGGAGACTTTTTTTTTTTCTTCCCCTCTTCCCATACACCTCATCTTCGTCGGGAGATTGATCTCATTGTAATTACATTGTTGACGGCATAGATCTCATGGAAAAAAACCATTTCATTCATGTTCAATTCCCTCTTTTTTCTACTCGCTCACTGTATAAAAATGACCTCCAAATACCAACTGGTGACTAAAATGTGAACCCACTGGTACAATGACCAAGCAAAGGCTAAGAGCCCGTTGGCACAAAGGGGAGAGATGGAGAGAAACTCTGCCAGTGTAAACACGCTGAGGCAGCAAGTCCAAATGTTAATCACATTGTGACCGCCACGCCCCCCCCTCCACCAAAAAAAAAAATCACTGTAGACAAGTGGCTGTCAGTAATGATGTTGCTATTTTGCCCAGGCTCATCTTGTTCCTGACACATCCTGATGGACAGCGATGAAGAGCGGGAGAAAAATGGCCTTCATTGTTGCTGACTCTGCTGCTCTTCTCGTCTCTGATCATCACTGCGAAAGACTCACAGGTAATTGCATTCAATTAAATCAGACTCCAATATATCTTCCATCCACCCATCCATTTTCCGATCCGCATATCCTCACAAGGGTCGCGGGGGGTGCTGGAACCTATCCCAGCCGTCTTCGGCCAGTAGGCGGGGGGACACCCTGAACCGGTTGCCAGCCAATCACAGGGCACACAGAAACGAACAACCATTCGCGCTCACACTCACACCTCGGGACAATTTAGTGTGTTCAATCAGCCTACCGTGCATGTTTTTTGGAATGTGGGAGGAAACCGGAATACCCGGAGAAAACCCACACAGGCCCGGGGAGAACATGCAAACTCCACACAGGGAGGCCGGGGCCGGGAATTGAACACGTACCTCTGCACTGTGAGGTCGACGCGCTAACCACTGGACCACCAATATCTTTTTTTTTTTTTTTCTTCTCTGAGGGAAAGTTTCTGGGTTGACCGAGACACACACGCTAGTGTCAACCGCTTCGATCACCGGATTGTGGCCTCGGTCCGTGGACCGGCCCTGGCGCCGCAAAGAGGAGCGCGTAATGTGAGGCGAGCTTCATTTCCACCTCCAGTGGAGGGAGACCACCTATTTAGTGGTGAGGCCACCGGGATGATAGCGGATCACACCCCATCAAGCCGCAGGGGAGGCGCCGCCTCGCATCTCACGGGTGCCTTTTGAGAGGCCGCATCTCGTCAGCTTACAGCTTCAATTTCCATATCATTAGGCTTGTCGGCGAATCTCGTCGCCACTCCCCATTAAACCACGCCGTTGCGTGCAAAAAACCCGTTGTGACGGCAGCGTAGAAGTGCTTATTCGAGCTTGGCTCACAATGTTTTAGCCGCCGCCCCCTCTATGTGCAGTTCATTGCAATAATCGTCTGCATCCGCTGGACAAATCGGAGAAAGCGTGATATTTATTCGTCTTTTCTTGTGTAATGAGATGGGGGAGGAGCCCAGGTTTGCGTCTTCTCACCTCATTACCCCGCACCTGGATGGGACTGCAGGGGGATCCTAATTTCAGTCGCTTGTTAACAACGCCTTAATGCGTCCTGACAGCGACAAGAAAAAAGGGACGGAGGCGTGCTTTAACCCTTTCAGGGACAACGGTTACTACAATGCACAGCTTATCACGTTGTCAGGTAACAGGTCATTATTTGTGCATGAAAGGTTGAAGGCATAAAAGAAATTGTCTTAAACCAGACCGTTGGCGTCCTTCGCTCTTCCTTGCTTCTAATTTGAAATGACTTCATCATAAATCATCCGAGCCTCCGTTTGTGGCCCCTCGCGCACACGCACACACACACCATTAGACTCCTTTGCGAATGCTTATGAGCTAATGAGCACAAATATTGTGCTCCGCATGAAACAAATAAAAGGCAAAATAGATTCTTGTTTTTGTTCGATGCGCCTCAGGTCAATTGTGAGTTTTGCAGCTGTGTGCGGCATTTGCAAACAAGTCGACACGAGGGCATGCTGCTTAATTGACAAGAGGAAATGAAGATTTTTTTATTTTTTTTCTTAATGTAACTTTTGAGTGGTTTGAAGGTGGCTGATTTCCACCTCCCAATGCGTGGGTACAAAGGAACACTTTGACAAACATTGCTAAGGGCCCATGTTTTAGACCCCATGTTTAGTCAATTTAATGTCGCATTCTTAAACGTTGGTGATGTCTTCCTCTGGATGGCCTCTCCCTCTCCCTGTAACTGCTCGCCCCTCCCCTCTCTATTGAAACCTTGACTTTTGAGAACCACGGTAAATAGTCAAACTATGCCTTCTTATTTGGTTGTTTTTACCCCTTGTTGGATCAAAATTTTGATTTAAATGACTTTTCAAGCATGACGACTGGGTGGTGATGTTGCCAGGACAAAATGATCAATATCTTCAAGTAAATTTAGTCATCATTTGTCTTGAAGTATTTTGGAACTGATTTTGTTTTGGACTGAGAATAAATAATATCACACCATTCCAGACTGAGATGCATATCTATACATATAATATATATATTTTTTTATTAAATCTGAAGGGAAATTGCAAAAATTATTATGTGGTGTTATTATAGTTGGGGAAACTCTCATTATTCGCCCAACCATGGAACATTGAAGAGTTGAATCTGCTGGACAGTATGGAATTGCAGTAGCCTAAAATGAGGAGGAAATTTTTTTTTTTTTTGTTTGTTTGTTTTCCAAAAGCTTTATCGGTCTCGCAAAAAAGAAGTGAAAGCACAAGCACAGCTCACATGATTTTGGGCAAAGCAGATTATGAATATGCAATATTTTTGTTCTCGTCCTTGCCGCAGCCTCCTGTGATGGTAATGCTACCCCACTGTTTATGCTAAGTTATTCTCCACCTGATTGGAAAAGTAATAGTAGGGGAGCCTGGAGCACGGAGATATGACTTTTAATTTGGTTTGGCGATGCATTCGCCGCTATAAACAAGTAAGATGGCGGCGTGATCTTAGACATGTGGAGATGAATTTCCGGCTTGCTTTTTTTTTTTTTTTTTCATGGTAGACTTTGTGGGCGAGGCACCTTGAAGCATGCCTGTAATGAGATTCTTCAGCGGGAATTAAATTTGAAATGTGTATATGGTGATGCTGGTGGTGGTTGGGGAAGCTAATAGAACATGACGAGGTTTTCTAGATGAACTGCAGCAAATTGTCGATTTTGTACAAGTTGCTCTACCTGGGCAAAAAATGGAGAAAAGTGTTTGTCCTGAAAACAATTCCAATGTGGTCGCGGACAGAAGTAAAAGACGCCTTCTTAGCAAAGCAAACAATTGGCTGTTGTTTAAAAAAAAAAAAAAATGTGCCCTCCAAAGTAGAAAAATAAACAAACAAAAAAGAATGTTTGTTTCTGGCTCGGGAAGAAGTTTAAAGATCCATTTTTGAACTTCAATATATGAAGTCGGTTTTTTATAGCCATTAAGAAAATTACACGAAATATTATAAACAGTTTTAAATTCTAATGCTTTTTTTTTTTTCTTTTCACCTCGGCTTTGCAATGCAATTTAAGATCAGGTCAACCCCACCACAACTTTAGCTTCTGTCATCATGACAGTATCTTAGTAGAAGGACTTGTAAGGTCGGCGTAAGAATTAAACTGGGTGCTGTGACTGCTCGCGTGTGTGTGTGTGTGTGTGTGTGTGTG